CTGGGGACAGGTGACACACCTGAGATACACCTGAGCATCATGGGATACACCTGGGACACACCTGAGATACACCTGGGGATCATGGGATACACCTGAGATACACCTGAGCATCATGGGATACACCTGAGCATCATGGGATACACCTGAGATACACCTGGGGACAGGTAACACACAGTGTCACATGGGGGCAGCATCGGGGACAACGGTCAGCCACGTGTCCGACATCGTGGGACAGGTGAGGGACACACCTGGGATACACCTGGGGACAGGTGACACACACCTGGGGATCATGGATACACCTGGGGACATGTGTCACACACCAGAGCATCATGGGATACACCTGGGGATGAGGCCTGATGAACTTTAATGACGGTTAATGACCTTTGCTGACCCTTGATGACTGTTAAGGACCTTTGCTGACCATTGATGACCATTAATGATCCTTGATGACCCTTGGTGACCTTTGCTGACCTGTGGTCACCATTAATGACCCTTGGTGACCCTTAATGACCTTTGCTGACCCTTGATGACCATTAACGACATTTGCTGACCCTTGATGACTGTTAATGACACTCAATGATCGTTAATGACCTTTGCTGACTATTAATGACCCTTGATGACCATTAATGATCCTTGATGACCACTAATGACCCTTGATGACCATTAATGACCTTTGCTGATCATTAATGACTTTTGCTGACCTTTGATGACCATTAATTACCCTTGATGACCTTTGATGACCTTTGATGACCCTTGATGACTCTTAATGACCATTAATGACACTCAATGATCGTTAATGACCTTTGCTGACCATTAATGACCATTAATGACCCTTGATGACCGTTAATGACCCTTGATGACCATTAATGACCCTTGATGACCGTTAATGACCTTTGCTGATCATTAATGACTTTTGCTGACCCTTGATGACCATTAACTACCCTTGATGACCCTTGATGACCGTTAATGACCCTTGATGACCATTAATGATCTTAGCTGATCATTAATGACTTTTGCTGACCCTTGATGACTGTTAATGGCCCTTGATGACCATTAATGACCCTTGATGACCTTTGATGACCATTAATGACCTTTGCTGACCCTTGATGACCATTAATGACCCTTGATGACCATTAATGACTCCTGATGGCCATTAATGACCCTTGATGACCGTTAATGACCTTTGCTGACCCTTGGTGACCGTTAATGATGTTTGTTGACCCTTGATGACCATTAATGACCCTTGATGACCGTTAACGACCCTTGATGATCGTTAATGACCTTCACTGACCCTTGATGACCATTAATGACCCTTGATGGCCATTAATGTGCTTTGCTGACCATTAATGGCCCTTGATAACCATTAATGACCTTTGCTGACCCTTGATGACCATTAATGACCCTTGATGACCGTTAATGACCCTTGATGACCATTAATGACCCTTGATGACCGTTAATGACCCTTGATGACCATTAATGACTATTGCTGATTCTTGATGACCGTTAATGACCCTTGATGACCATTAATGACCATTGCTGATTCTTGATGACCGTTAATGACCCTTGATGACCATTAATGACCCTTGATGACTGTGAATGACCTTTGCTTACCCTTGGTGACCATTAATAACCCTTGGTGACCATTAATAACCCTTGGTGACCATTAATGACCCTTGATGACCATTAATGACCGTTGGTGACCATTAATGACTCTTGATGATTGTTCATGACCTTTGCTGACTCTTGATGACCATTAATGACCTCTGCTGACCCTTGATGACCGTTAATGACCCTTGATGACCATTAATGACCCTTGATGACCATTAATGACCCTTGCTGACCATTAATGACCCTTGCTGACCATTAATGACCCTTGGTGACCATTAATGAACCTTGATGACTGTTAATGACCATTAATGACCCTTGGTGACCTTTGCTGACCCGTGATGACCGTTAATGACCCTTGATGGCCATTAATGAACTTCGCAGACCCTTGGTGACCATTATTGACCCTTGATGACTGTTAATGACCTTTGCTGACCCTTGATGACCGCTAATGACCCTTGATGGCCGCTAATGACCCTTGATGGCCTTTATGACCTTTGATGACCATTAATGACCTTTCCTGACCCTTGATGACCTTTGGTGACCCTTGATGACCGTTAACGACCTTTGCTGACCATTGATGACCATTAATGACCTTTGATGACCATTAATGACCATCACTGACCGTCACTGCCCCTTGCTGCCCAGGAGGGCGTGGTCTACGCCGTGGAGTTCTCGCACCGCTCGGGCCGGGACCTGCTCAACGTGGCCAAACGGAGAACGAACGTGGTGCCGGT